CCCACTTCTTCGGATGCATAGCCCACGAAAGCTTATGCTCTAATAAATTTGTTAGTCTCTAAGGTGCCACAAGTACTCCTGTTCTTCTTTTTGCGGATACAGACTAACACGGCTGCTACTCTGAAACCTGTCATTAAAAAAAAAGAAAGCCTCACAGTTCTAATGCCTACTCTCACAATTCAAGAGTAGGAACAGGAAGTTTAAATTACCATTTTCAGGCCAATGCCAGTCCTCTAGTCACTTCCTGTCCCACTATCATTCAGTTTGTATTACAAAAGGCCATCTCAAATATATGGAGGTACTTATTTTAGCAGGAACATCAATTCCAATCAGTTAGTAGGAAGAGTCAAAGAAAGGTAACTTGTTCAGTCAGTTAATCATGGGTCATTCTGGGGTGGCTAAGGAGAGAGCAAAATGATTTTTATATTCTGGATCTAAAGGCAAATACACATATTAGCCGGGTTTGGACTGTAATACACAACCAGAATCGTTAATGAAGTTAGCATTTGTTAGGTTACATAGATTGGAGGAGTAGGGAGATCCTGATTTTGTTAGGTTTCAGAGTAGCAGCCGTGTTAGTCTGTATCCGCAAAAAGAAGAACAGGAGTACTTGTGGCACCTTAGAGACTAACAAATTTATTAGAGCATAAGCTTTCGTGGACTACAGCCCACTTCTTCGAATGTTCTTCTTTTTCCTGATTTTGTTGTTCTTGGTCACAGGATTAAGCAATTACAGCTGAATATGTATTTCTTTTAAAAGGATTTAAAATAGCTTTCAGCCAGATATCATAAATTCTCCTTTCACCTTCTAAACAAGGTACTCTCTTGAAAAAACAGACACACGGCATCTCTTTTCCCTGAGATTAAAAAAAAACCAAACTATTTCAAAGCACACCTAGACTCAGAACACTAGCTCGTTACTACACCATAATATTGTTCTCTTTTGCTTTTGTTTGAAAGGGCCATGGTACTTTACCTGCGTCTCAAGCACGATGGAAAGGAGTTAGTTTTAATATTTCCCCGGAGCTTTCCAAATGTGGTACAATTTGAAGGGAACCTGAACTTGTCTAGTTTCTTACTGGCTGATGATCTTCCAATTAAAACAACCATCTGTCTCAGGCGCCCCAAGCCCCCTTCCTAGCCCGGGATTGTTCCCTGAGTCCACTGCCACCCCTCCGCCCCTCTCTAGCAGGTACCGCATCGGCCTATTCGGCAAAGTTCAGATGCTACGACTTCCCCCGAAGCGAGCGGCGGGCGGCTCAGCTCACGCCCACCGCACCCAGCCGAGAGGAGCGCGCCCCGACCCGGGAGGCTGAGAGGAGACAGGAAGACTCCGGGCTCCCACGAGTAGCCGAAAGAGACGGGGGGCTTTAGAGCTGAGAGGGGCGCACGCCGCCAAACCCTCCATCCCCACAGGGGCCCCGGCAGCCCTCGGCCGGGGGGAGGCTCGCTCTGCCCGAGCCGCAAGGCAAAGGGCCCCGGCGGAACTCACCGCTCCAGGAAGATGGGCGAGAGGCTGAGTCCCCGCTGCTTGCTTCAGCCGCGTCCTCTCGCAGAAACGTGCCGCTTCCTCCAGGGAGCCTGTCAAGCCGGGCTGGGCGCAGGGAGTTTCCCCAGCCCCTCACGCGCCCCGCCCAGGCTCCTCCCCCGTCCGGGCCCATTGGCCGCAGTTCCAGGCCGCGGCAGTGACCGGCCGCGGGATGCTGCGCTGCGGGGCGCGGAGAGCCAGGGCGCTGGGGGCTTCCAGAGCCTGGGAGCCAGCGGGGGAAGGAGTCTCCCAGTGGCTGCCGCGGCATGGTGGGGAAGCCCAGGGGTCTGGAGGTGGAAATTGGGGAGGTGCGCGGGGCTCTCCCAGGGTCTGCTGCGAGAGCCATGGATGATTTGGGGAGCAACTGGTACAGCCCCCTCCTACTCTCCCCAGGCTTGCTTCGGGGGAGAGGTTGGCGGTGGGTCACTTCTGAGAACAGGCTGAGGAGGTTCCCCAGCTGCTAGGAAGTGTGGGTGGCTCTGGCTGTAGCTAGCTGCTGGGCCCAACTGTCCCTTGCTACCCCCTTCCTGGTGCTCTGGTTCAGAAGGGGCCTTTGCAGCAGATGGGCACCTAGTGCAAGGGGTCAGCACAACCTCGCTTAAGTGGCTGTTTTAACCCTGTTCTGCTGATACTCACACCTGCTTGTCAGCTGTTTGAAATGGGCCACCTTGATTGCTTTGGCCTCATTAGCACTACAAAAGTGATTTTCCTTGCCTTGGTATTCACCCCTTCTTGGCAACTGTTGAGAATGGGCCACTTCCACCTTAATTGAATGGTCTCGTTAGCACTGACCCCCCACACACACACACACTTGGTAAGGCAACTCCCATCTTTTCATGTGCTGTGTAATTATACCTGCCTACTTGTATTTTCCACTCAATGCATCTGATGAAGTGGGTTCTAGCCCACGAAAGTTTATGCCCAAATAAATTTGTTAGTCTCTAAAGTGGCACAAGGACTCCTCATTGTTAGTGCAGTTAGAGCAGGTTGGGGGAGCTAAATAAGGGTGTGGGGAGTGGAGGGTGTGGGGGAGGAGATGATTGAGAATGGAGTATCAGAGCAAAGAAGCAGCAGGGTGAGTGGGGGGAGGTATGAAGGAGTGAGGGGGTGAAGAGTACAGTTACGGGCAGGGTAGAGGAACAGGAGGACCAGAGTGGGTGGGGATGGATCAGAGCATGGGATATCGGGAACAGTGATGTAGCTAGGATGGGACATTTGGGTGGGCCTTGACAGTGGGTGAGCAATGATGGGGGAGCCCCACACTCCCTCCAGCCAGCCTTGCGGGGGCAATGGATGCTCTGGCCTGGGCCTCCTGGGGCCCCACGCTCATATCCAGCTCTGGGAGGAGAAGCCACTCTCCAGCGGCAATGGTTCCCATCCCAGTCCCATGCCGGTCCTGGCTCCCCAAGTGGCAGGACTACCTTTTTTGAGGATTCCTCTGCCGCCACTGGTTCTCCTGAAGCTTACCCTCCTCCCAGTGGCAGATTAGTTACTGGGCCAAAGGGGCGTGCCCAGGGCCCCCAGCCAATTGTGGGCCCCTGGAAAAATGGGCACCCTGCCTGCTCTACCTCTCCGCCTGGTGCTCCTGCCGGGGAGCGGGGTCAGGGCATGAGAGCTTGCCTTGCTCTGCCTGCTCCCTGGCTGGAGAGCAGGGCAAGCCCCTGTGCCCCGACCCTGCTACCCAGCTGGAGCACCGGGCAGGCGGAGAAAACCCTCACATCACAACCCCGCTCCCCGGCTGGAGCGCCGGGTGGACAGAGTGGGATAAGCTGGAGCTGAAGCAGAGCTGGGGCTGGGGGGTGGGCCTGGATGCTAAGTGGGTTGGCTGCAGCCCACGGATGGCTATGCCCCTGATCGGAAGTAGGAGGCACTGCGCAGAATGATACAGGAGAAGGGAGGTAAGTGATAGACTGAGAATTGTGGATGGAACAGACGCTGCCTCAGTGAATGTCAACAACCACCAGTAGCAACAGAAGTGGCAGAAAGTTAGAATACAGTTTTTTGGGCCCTGTTCATGTTATAACTTGTAATTAGTTGCTGGCATGTTTGGCTGTACACATAGCTTGTGTTTGAATACAACAAGGTTAAAACTCCATTTGTGTCTGTGGTAAGTATACTAACTGTGTTGAGCTAACCGTATTTTGCTATGCCAGAGGCCTAGGGGTAGACAAAGCATCATGTTGTAACAAGTTTAGCTTTTTTGCAGTGTGGACTGGACACCCTAACTAAATTTGTATAACCAGTTTGGCTAGTCCTTCTTCACTGCTCTGTGTGAAGTACAAAGCCCACACATTGCCCCACATTTTGCTGATACTGATCAGTCAGTGTGCATGTTCTCCAGTTGCTTTTTCTTTTACTGAGGTCCTAATTCAGAAAGATATTTAAATGTAATAGTGTCATTGGCTTCAATGGGACAACTCGGGTGCTTAACACCAGACGTGCTTGAATACTTTACTGAACAGGGGCCTGAGGCACGATGTCCAGATTTTCCCCAGAATTCACTAATACAAACATGGTAGGGCAGATATGCAAACACAGTATGATGGCAGAAAAACTGCTGGGAATACAAACTGAACCCCATTACTTGTAACCATTTATCAAATAAAGATGAATAAGTATTGCATGGACAATGTCTGTAGTGTGTGTTTGTGTTTGGGGGTTACTTGCTGTGTGCTGAGCTTGTGTTTGTCAGTCTGTTTGGTTGTTTGGAGGACCGTGTGCTGTGGCTGGCATTTGGAAGCTGTGAGCTTCAAAGGAAGGTCTGAAAGCTAGAAGCCTCTGGTAATTGGCTGAGCCTTAATCAGTGGGCGGGGCATTCACACAGGCCAGGGCTTTATAAAGGGGTTATAGTGGACCACAAGCTAAATATGACTCAACAGTGTGATGCTGTTGCAAAAAAAGCAAACATGATTCTGGGA